AGCAGGGGGCGGGGCCGCCCGGGTGTGGAGCTCCGGACGTCCCCGGCCCTCGGGCCGTGGCGCCTTTTTCTGCACACCCCACTGAATTCCTGCGGAGGGGCGAGCTGGCGAACGGCTCCTCCCCTCCGAGCGCCTGGGCTTCGGCCTCCCCTCCCCCTCGTCGGCAGCGACAGGGTGTCCCGGGAAACGCCGTTTATTCATTTGCGGGAGTGAGGTTTCCGGGAAGGGTCGGAAGTGCTTCCCTGACTACTTCGTGGGCAGTGGAGTGGGTCACTGAACACCGCGGGGGTGGGAACGCGCCCCTGGTTTCAAGGACATGAGAAGCATTTAGAGTGTTGGCAATTTAAACCAGGTGTGTGTCGGGCAGCAATTGCTGAGGACCAGTCTGGTCCCTGAGAAGTGGTTCTTGGTTCTCAAACTTGAGTGCCCAGTGGGAGTATACCTGGGGACTTCATTTAAAACACTGGTTCTAGGACTCATTTTAAACACAGTGAACCCGAGATTCTGCTTAGAAACAGTACTTTAGCCAGCTGCTTAAGGGATTATTATGCAGGTAGCCCGTGGACATTCAAATCACACTGAACCTCAGTAACCGCTCTAGAGGTAGGCGGCCCTTTGCAGGAGGAATTGAATAGTTTGCAAAGAGCGTGTCTTCAATACAGAGGCTTCTGCTCAGAAGGTTTAGCAAGACAAATAAATAAATCGATTGCTTGAGCTTGAGCTAGTTGCCTGCCCAGAGGGTTTGTGAACGTGCGAGACCACTTCCTTTTGAAATTAAAATACAAAGCCAAAAGACTTAAGGCATGTTCTTATAAAATACTGCTGATGACAGTCCTAATAGACTACTTTTCCCGGAGATGTCACTTCCTCAGGCGCCACAGTGCAAGGTTATGGTGCATCCTTCTTGTCCGTTGACGCCCTGTATTTTATATGTAATTGTTATAATTCAATTTTGATGATGGAGTCAAGCTCACCTTTCTTATGGTTTCTTTTAATGAAAAGTGAGTTCTGCCTCTAAAGTGTTGGAGGTTGATAAAAACCTAGCGTGCACCCTTGTCTTTCTTGGGCTCATGAAAGCCGGTTATTGATTTAACCAGGCTGTTTGAACTACCAGATAATTTCCACTGGTGTTTTTGGTCATCTGTCTTCTCTTGTTACCCTGGGAACAGAAACGGGGTTTGTTTGTATAAGGTTGTAGTTCGGTTTATTTCTTTGTCTGGCATATGAAAATTGAAACCCCTTGGTGGTACCCCCCCCCTTCTGTGATTCAATCAAAAGTAAAATAGTTGGCTAGTTTTTACGATCTTGGAACTTCAGGGATTTCTAAAGTGATGCTTCACCTGGAGACAAATTAAGGCCTGCAGGAACCTCTGAAAAAGCTGAAATGAAGCATGTGGGGTTTTGTTTTTGTTTTTGGTTTTGTTTTTTTTTTTGGTTTTGGTTTTTTTACCATGGAGGTTGTTGAGTCTTGACTGTTCATTGAAATTCGGAGTTTTTGTGTGCAGGTGTATGACTCTGGGCATCCAAAGAAAATTTGCTTGCCAGAGCCCTGCTTGTTAGAGGTAGGTGAAAGTACTTTCAAATTCCGTGTTATGTTCTGTCTCAAAGCTCTTTTGGCTCTTATTAGTTGAAAGGGTCTAACAATTTGGAATCCGCTGTTGTTTTAAGCCTCTTTAGGTTCTTAAATTTACTGTGGTTTGAATTCCAAGGTTAAGGTTACTATTTCTATTATATTACTGGCTCACCTTCAAGCTCAATTATTTTAAGTTATTTCTCTTTCTCTTCTTTGACTCTTGGGTTAAAAATAGTACTCTGAACAGGAATTTCTTTGGCGTAGTTGTACATTTGAAAGAGGACTTGTGGGAATGTGGTTTGCAATCTTGTATATCTTTTATGTGGTTTGTGTTTTCGAATTTTCTGTGTCTTTGTGGGGGTGGGAGGGAGACTTGAGTCTTCTTCCCACTGAGTTTATTAGCTTCTGCTGCAGAGGGCTACCTGACAAGCAGTGAGTGGTGATGGCAGCACATTCATTTTGTAATAGGATTATTAGCTACTTTTCAACAGTTGAATTTAAAGTGTGTGTGGTGACCACATGCATTTGTCAGGTAGAAGTTTCTAGTTTCTCCTGGCTTCACTCAGGACAAGAAGATAATCTTTTAAATGCTGTTTTGGTGGAGGAAAGCCGAGAATTCATCCCTGTAGATGGTTTTTGTTTTTTGGTTTTTTTTGCAGTTGTTTTAAGAAGTGGACATTCTTCTCTCAGATGCCTTTTTAGTGTGGTTCTAGCTGTCTGAAGTAGAGAAGGGTAAATTTGCCTGCTTGTTCGGAACAATTTGGGAGAAACAGCCAAGGGGATTTCCCTTTAAATTGAGTACAACTCTTAAATAGATTTCTATCTTACACTTATTTATGACTGACCATTCTTACATCAAACATTTTTTTTCCTTTTAGGTAGAAGAGATACTTTTTTCTTTCCTTCAAAAAAATGTGCAGTCTATAGAGAAAGCCTGGGACTAGAACACTGTAGGAGTGTTCTGAAAGCTGGTGGCATATGCAATTGTAATGAAAATGAATACTTTGTATCTTTAGGTGTAACTTCTCTTTAGAATTTTCTTCTGTTTTGAGATTCTCAAGATCTTCCTGGCTACTATTTAAATAATTGGTAGATATTTTTTCAGAGTCATGCTTCTCTAAAAAAATGTTTGTGAGGAGATCTGCTAGCTCAGCTAGTATCAAAGAGATGATATCTTGTAACTTGACATTAGTAGCATGTAGGTTTATTGTAGGTTTGTTAAGTCAGCCTTGCCTGTTGACACATGGGTAATCTGTAAAGAGGAGGAGCTTGTAGCTTTCTGGAGGTGGGCATTCAGATCCTTGAATAGAACTTTAGGTGTATGTGTTTCTGGAGATGCACAGATTTAAATGGATATCTTGGTTTTTGCCTCTTGTTTAGGAATAAATATGATTAGTTTCTCACTTCCCTTTGAAGTCTCCTGGCTTGGGAGATAATTACTTGTACTGTGAAACAGTGGGAATACCATAAGAGATTGGAGTCTGCCTGGCGTAGATCGGGAACTGCTTCCAAAGGAAGGTACTTTCTGACATGAGTCTTGTAGGGTCAGTGTAAGGTAGGGAGGAGGCCTATCACAGAGGAGCACGTACGTGCAGGAGCTGATGAAAAGAGAATGGCTGAGGGAGGAGAGAAAACAAAAGAATGGATGCAAACATATTTGCAAAGTATGTAACTGGGGTGGGGCAAAGAATAGTGGAAGTGTTAGTGAGGTAGTCTGATAGTCTTGTGAGGGCCTTGTGTGCCCAGCCTCTGAGCATCTATCTACAGGTCCCTCTTTAAGTGCTCTTTAATCTGAGAGATCTCCAAATACTTGAAGTGTGAGAGTGGCTCAGATTGGCTAGGTACTTGCTTTAGGTTAGAGACTAGAAATTAAATCTTGGCCTATCTGATTCTAAAGCTTGTGCTTTAGTGGGAGGCAGGGTGGGCTCTGGAAACTTATTTTCTCCTGCCTGTGGAGAGACTGGCAGAGTTATTGAAGATGATTTAAAATAGAACCATGATGAAGGTAGGCTCAAGATCCCTAGAATTGGGCCTGGCACAAAGCAGGTGTCTCTGTGGTTTTAAATGAGGGACAACCACAAGTAGGGGTGAATTTTAGGAAAACAGGGCCTTACCGTGTATATATGGGAGAGGCTAGGCTGTTGTGTCATTGGCTGTGGTTGTGAACCAGGTAGATGAGAGTGAAGGGTGCCACAAGTGTTGCTGAATTAGGTGATTTGAGTGCCAACCAAGGTAGGGAATATAGGGAGAAAGGGTGGGCTGAGGGATTATAAACTAGAGGTGCTGAGTTGAATTAGAGTAGAACAAATGAAGAATGGATAGCTAGCTCAAGAAGTTAGACAGAGCTACTGGAGTCTGAAGCTTGGGAGAAAGGACTAGAGGTAGATAGGATCAGATTCCTCAGCATTAGAAGAGGTGTTAGTAATTGACACATTATCCAGGAGCAGTGTAAAAATTAGAGAGGCTAAGGAGGAAGAGTAGAAGTTTTGTTTTAGTGCTCACTTCTTCAAACCTTCATTTCTTTTAGTGACAAGGTCTTCTTTGGCATTCCTTTGGAACTTTCTGCTGGCCTTTTTTTTTTTTTTTTAATGAAGGCAGGTAGAGCTTGGGTATTACACTTCTTAGCTTGAGTGCCTGAAGCAGCTGCACAGGTGTAGAGAGAGTAAGATGGTGACGTCTTTCTTTTTCTTCCTTAGAAGAACTGAAACAGCTCAGCTTCTTAGAGTGAGAACTGCAGTTGCTGAGGAAGTGCTGACTTAGTTACAGATGAACTAACACAAATAGGACATTAGGTTCCTTACGGTTTTGTTACATGTCACTGCCATACGTAGGACCATAGTGTCATGTAGTCAAGTGCCAAAATGTACCGTGGCAGTCAACTCCACAATTTCATAGTATAATAGAAAAGAACTGTAGATGGACATGGCATATTCTTGTAATCCCAGCCCTTGGGAGGTAGAGACAATGGGATCAAGAGTTCCAGGTCATC